TATCGGCGACCCAGGTCTAAAAGTCGAGATCGATACAACTTTAATATCTCGCCGCAAAAACCACGAAGCGAACGATTTATTTATTTTTTACCAATACAAATCGCTCCCCAGATAGTGAGCATTGTTTTGAACAGATCGGATCAGATCAGATCATTGATTGAACTACCTCTTTCTTGGTCCGTCCAAAGGTCATTCACGGCACTTATCCTCAACGCGTGAGTCCCGAAACAATCCAGCTCCTGGTGGACATCCGTACGAGCCGGTTCGTCGCTCCCTACCCTGTCATATTACCGACTGGAATGCAATACATCCTCGACGTCCCCCAGCGCGCGGTCGTTCATTGGAAGGACACCGACATACAGATTCTCCGGAACCGAGGACGCTATCTCGTCACCGAAGTCCCCAGTCCAGAAGGATGAATAACATGTACGAACATGACCCGCCGAGTATGGAGACCGCGGCGCTGCAGAATCTAACAAACGAGTTGTCAGAGTTACGACACGGATTGAAACGTAGTCGAGAAGCCAACTCCGGAAAGGTGAGTGGTTCGGTACCTCGCGGCGCAATCGCTTCGATCAACACAAATTCAATAATTTTGATTGCCATTCGTTTCCCGTTTTAAAACCACTTTGTGAGAAAACGAACACTGTTCAGTGACAAACTTGAACGTTCCTGTCTTGATAAAACACTCTTGTTGTCAACCCAATCATTGGGAAAACCGGGGGTGGGGGGTCGAAATCCCAATCGGAGCAAAGGTCACAGCATCCCAACTATCTTAGCACTAGCTCATCCACACAGACGGACAGAAAGTTCAAACGACGTTCAAGAGGGACCATCAAATGAACCGAACCAGAAGAACTAGACCCTAGGCTGGACCCAAACACATGTAGGTTTCCCCACCGACCCAACACTTGTTCAACCACTCTAACACACTAAAATCCCTCGGCCGACACCCAACAGAGATTTAGCTTGACTTAGCTGATTGGTTCTCCTTCCGCCTTAAATCTCGACCAACCTCGGAACCTAGCCACTTGGCCTGACGAAGCTTTTGCGTCAAAAGCGAAACGTTGCCCAGCAATAAATCTACCGATTGTCACCAAACTCTCTTGTTGCAGGTTTTTGTGCTCTTATTTCAGCCAGGAGCGAAGAAATGCCTTGTATCAAAACGCTTTGGTTTGTTGTTAAAGTGCAGTCGAATCACTAAAAAAGCCCAGGCACACGAGCGCTTTCGTGCTTATTCACGATTATCAGATGGGTATGTGAAGGCCGGACACGTGACTTTGGTTAGAAGCTCCCTGATTGGTAAATAAATCTAAACAGAGCATGTCGTGTAGTCCCCTCAGTTACTGATCACAGGGAAGGGTCCTAATGTGTAAAGCATCAAGACCTTTCTTCCGCAGGGATAGTGTTGACCTGGAAATTGCTTATGAGAAGTAACCCTACTTGGAACTCATCGCGGTTAAATCCAAGGAAACGGGGAAGCAAAGAAGATTAATCTCCTTCCCCTATATTTCTCGTCAGATTTCATACTTTTCAAGGAATTATCGATTTATCACATATTGAGGGCGAACACAGTCGAGATGCAGGGAATGGGTTCGAAGAGATTTGACCTTACCGCGGTGTGACGGTTCGCGCACTTCAGCGATCCAGTGAGCTATACTGGAGAGTGTCCCACGACACTCACAGAGTATCTCACACCAGGTTGGTCTATTGGTAGAGCTCTGACGAACACAGTCTCCTTGACCTCAAGGTTGGAGGTTGGAACATGTATGCCGACGTATTCCGTAAAAATGTGGCCCTCAAGGTTGGAACATGTATGGCGAGGTGTTCCGCAAAAATGGTAATGCTTTTGAATTTCACGCCAATCGTCGCTGCCTTGCGGTTAGACTTTTAAGCCGAAGGCTTTCGTTGAGGACCCTAGTCGTCCTCCTGTCTAGCTGTGGGCGCCCTGACAGTGTATCAGCCCTCGTACAAAGTACGGCAGTGAAGCATCGGTGTTGAACAGTGATGTCATTCTGTCGATGATGATGATGATGATGATGATTGGTGTCGAATCACGAGCCTTCTGGTCTTGAACCCCACACATGTCTATAGTCCAGACGTGGCTACAAAAGTAAAACAGGTTCACACTTCTGGAGGATACAGTCCTTTGAGTTCACCTCTCCTGAAAGCATTCATCCTTTGGCTAACAGCTATCTAGGGCAGCTTGTATTTTCAAAATTCTGAAGAATCCACTCATTGGCGAAGCTCAGCCATCACGGGTCGGTTGTCGTTACGCCCTAAACATGGTTGAAGGTCAGTCCCGAAATTAGCGCTTTAACGACGAAACACACAGTCTACTAGCGTACCCATCTATCCTCTGTCATGCAGAGAATTTTCCGTGATTATCTTCCGCTCTGATCTCGGGAAAGTTCGGTGGTTAAGGCGCAAACTTATTAGCCGGAACATCCGTGGTTCGAACCCATCCTCACCATCCGGCCGGCTACTTGGACACTCCCAGAGAACGAAGACTCTGATCCAGCCTCTAAGTCGGGATCTTCACTTTTGGTTTTAACGCGTGGGGTACTTGGGTACGCACCGTTAGATCCTACTTGTGTGGAGTCACCGCTGTGGTTACGCGCATTCAATGATTTGTAACGGGTTCATTGGATATCTTGACTTAGTTTTGTTCCCAGTGGCGGGCACTGTCAAATTACTATCGGTATGACACACCGAATTTAGCATGTGTGCCCGCACCATGTTCTTAATGTGGTTGTCGGTTGCCAAAATAAAAATGGGGATGTTCTTTGAACATTCCGGGTGCGGATAGCACAGGGGTAGGCATCACGAACTTCCGTTTCGACCACCCCGGAGATGTGAATAGTACTGAGTCATTTTTGAGTAGTATAAGTTTGGCAAGCTTGTGTTTTAGCGGTGCCAAGGTTAAACAGAACTCACACTTTTGGAAGGATGATGTGCCTAAATTCAAGAAAATATTTCTGATGTCAGTAAACATGTAACGATATAAAAGATCTCGCGTTAGTTCCTTCTAACTCACAATGTAACAGCGCGCCAAATTCACTCACCTTAATAGAATGTTGTAATTAGTTTGACAATAAACCCTTTAGTCTATCAAGCTATGGGTGAAAACACTGACATCATATACGGTGTCATCTTCATCGATATGCTGTTACGTAGATCAAGTAGTATGTTTTCTCAGAGAGAAGTCGTCAATCAGAGATTCAACCGATGCCAGATCACGTGACCGAATGCTTGCGGTGCCGATTAGCCGATGGCTAATAACCGGCTGCTTATTCACCAAAGGATGAAACATCTTGGCCTTTCAGCAGAGCCTTACTTCACTTGCGGAATAAAATTTCAGGTTCACTCTGCTGACAGCAACAAATGAACTGTCATATGTAGCAACTATTGGGGTAGCATAAAGTGAAATTCAGTGGTTAGGACTCGAGCTTACGACCGACAAATGTATGGTTCGAAGCCGTCCTGAGCAGCGCAACACAATCATAACATAGCGCCTCAAATTTGATTCTTTCAATCGAACAAGCTTACTTTTGATGGACGTTGTGAACACGTCACCACTTTTAAACGGATAACAGAATTTCCTTGAAGTTGCATTTATCTGTACGAACTAGCTTTCATAGCTGCTGCCCTCATTTTCCCCTCCTGTTTGATGATACTTCACGGTGATGACGTCTTTCAATCGTCATGTCCATAGCGATTAGCCGATGGCTAATAACCGGCTGCTGATTCACCAAACGATGAAACATCTTGGCCTTTCAGCATAGCCTTACTTCACTTGCGGAGTAAAATTTCATGTGCACTCTGCTGACAGCAACAAATGAACTGTCATATGTAGCAACTAACGGGGTAGCATAAAGTGAAATTCAGTAGTTAAGACTCGAGCTTGCGACCGACAGATGTATGGTTCGAAGCCGTCCTGAGCAGTGCAACACAATCATAACATAGCGCCTCAAATTTGATTCTTTCAATCAAAAAAGGTTATTTTCGATGGACCGTTTGGACGCGTCACCATTTTTAAACGGATAACAGAATTTCCTTGAAGTTACATTTATCTGTACGGACTAGCTTTCATAGCTGCTGCCCTCATTTTCCCCTCCTGTTTGATGATACTTCACGGTGATGACGTCTTCCAATCGTCATGTCCACAGGGTGATACTACTGATGGGGAGGAATGCGAGTAGTATGTGTTGTTCTTGGAATTTCGCTTCGCGTCTCTTGAAAAGGGGAGATCTGTTGCGGAATTTGTGGAGTCGCTTTGTAACATTTGCTTGGATTTGAGCAATGAATGAATGGCGTTAATGAATATCCAAGAAAGTTCGAGAAGACGCGTTTAGGAGAAGATGGATGTCCAGTTTTTGTAAATAAGATGTAAATGAGAGTTTTGCTTCTCTGTCCAATAGTCTGTAAACGGTCAGTTGGCATTTCCTAATAAATAACTCCGCAGCGAA